TCTTTCCCTTAGCGCCTGAGTGAGCCTGAGCAGGTTATGAAATCCCTCTGCATCTTCCTTCCCTCATCTGTCATATAGGATAATAGTCGTTTTTACTTCCTAAGTATGTGTGTGTTATTTTTTGAGGAGTTAGTGTCAAACATGTTGTGTTATAATTCAGTCATCTCACTTCATCCTCACTACCATTCTCTGAGGTGGGCATTGTTGTGATCCACATTTTACAGATGAGGAAACCGAGGCTCGGTGAGGTAAAGCAATTCACCCAGAGTCACATGCTAGTCGGTGACAGAACTGAGTCTTCAACTCCCCTTCTCTCTCCTCCCAAGCCAATGCTCCTTTTTTTAAATATGTTTTTTCCCCAGTTTTATTGAGATATAATTGACATATCACATTGTATTTGTTTTAGGTATACAACATAATGATTTGTTATATGTATAAATTGTGAAATGATTACACAGTAAATCTAGTCAGTATCGGTCACCTCACATAGTTACAAAGTTTTGTTTTCTTGTGATGAGAACCTCTAAGATATACTCTCCTTGCAACCTTCAAATATTGTTAACAGGATTGTTAACTATCGTCACCATGCTGTACATTACATCCTCAGAACTTACTTATTGTATAACTGGAAGTTTGTACCTTTTGACCCCCCTCGCCCATTTCTCCCATCTCCTACATCCTGCCTCTGGCCACAACCACCAGTCTGTTCCCTGTATCTATGAGCTCTAATTTTTTTTTTTAGATTCCACACAGTATCTGTCTTTCTCTGTCTGACTTATTTCACTTGGCATAATGTTGCAAATGAAAGAATTTCCTTCCTTTTTATGGCTGAATAATATTGTGTGTGTGTGTGTGATATATCACATTTTCTTTATCCATTTTACATCAGTGGACACTTAGGTTGTTTCCATGTCTTGCAAAGCCTATGCTTAAAATATGTGAAGGTCTGGAAAATACTGAAAAGTTTAGGCAGAGGAAGAGAGGATGTAAGAACTTTTCTTTACACTATTGTGCGAAATTTCAAATGGAGAAACAAAGTGGGAGAGGGAGTGGGAACATACCTATCCTTCTCCCACAGATGCCTGCATTTCCACTGCAGGGAAATGAAACAAAAATACTAGATACAGTCAACTTCTGGTGAGTAGAAATTATCTAGAAGATTCGCCGACCGCTGATAGGAATAACCATGCAGATAGGTAGGTCATTTTGACTGGACTCCAGGCATAAGGGCCAAGAGGATATAACTGTGAAGAGCCTGTGGTGGATAGGAAAGAACACAAGGCGGGGTCTTTTTCTTTAGTTAATTAATTTATGTATTATTTTCTTATTTTTTTGGCTGCATTGGGTCTTCCTTGCTCTTCACGGGCTTTCTCTATTTGCGGCGAGCGGGGGCTACTCTTTGTTGCGGTGCGCAGGGTTCTCATTGCAGTGGCTTCTCTTGTTGGGGAGCATGGGCTCTAGGCACATGGGCTTCAGTAGTTGTGGCTCGTGGGCTGTAGAGCGCAGGCTCAGTAGTTGTGGCGCACGGGCTTAGTTGCTCCACAGCATGTGGGATCTTCCCAGACCAGGGCTCAAACCCGTGTCCCCTGCATTGGCAGGCGGATTCTTAACCAACTGCGCCACCAGGGAAGCCCAGGGTGAGGTCTTTATGCTAGATGATCTTGTCATTTCTGGGCCTGCACTTGTGCATCTATAAAACGAGCAGATTGTAGACAACATAAAAGAGCTAAGGTCCTTGCAAAACGGTCGGGATTAGTTAGGAAAGGAAACTGCTTTAGCTCTTCGGGACCCTTCCCTGACCACCGAGTTAGATGACACTGTTCCCCTAGTTCCATGTACTCTATCACATCGCCCTGTAATACTTTAATCACCGGGCTCTGTACTGTCTGAAGTTATGTTATTCATTGATTTGCTTGTTTATTGCCTGCTGCCCCCACCCCAATGA